TATGAGCCAGAATTTGACCAGTTGCAAATTAATGAAATATCCGTTATATCACTATTTATGTCAGAATTCATCAAATGTTCATTTACTTAAATATTTATTTAAAAAATATTGAAACATATGGCTGGTACTGCGTTCATTTGCATTTTGTTTCAATATTAATTTTATCGCACTTCATATCCTTGTTATGTGTGCTTTAGAAAATGTATAATAAAATGCTTCAGGTATAAAATATTTGAAATTATAATTAGGAGTATACCCGTTCATCGATCTGTTTTAGTTTCTTCTTGCATATTTATCAGGCAAATTCCATTGTAAACAAAAATAGTTTTGAAGCTTTTCATCTCACATAAATCAAAGATAAAAGTCAAAGTTCTAATTATTTTATAATTTGCAAGAAAATCGAATTCTTTCCATGTTACAATCATCAAATATTATTTCAGGTATTTTTCTTAATTCAATCTATCTTTACAATTAAAATTTATATTTTTATATTAATAGTTTTATAAATATTTTGAAATGTATAAAAGTTACAAGTTATTTAGAAGATTTTACAGTTTATTAAAAATGAGAGTATGGATATAACTGATATAGTTATTTCAACTATTTCAATTAATAGAACTTATTTTTAAAATCAATATTTATAGATTTTGAATAAATTTGTATTAACTGTTTTAAAAACAATTTCAAATTTGCAAAAGTTACTGATTATTTATAAATTTACAAAAATTACAAATTATTCAGAAATTTACAAAAATTACAAATTATTCAGAAATTTACAAAAATTACAAATTATCTATGAATTAATAAGAGTTACAAGTTATTTATAAATTTGCAAAAATTACAAATTATTTATGTATTTACAAAAATTACAAATAATTCGCAAATTTATAAGTATTTTGGAATTTATTAAAAATTAAAGAGTATGGGTATAATAACTAGAAATTATTTCAAATATTTCATTTGCGCCAACATAATTTCTTTACTATTACATTGCTAAACAAGCTTATAATAAAATTCATTTTATTTTTATTTTTGACACAAGCTTTATTTTACAATTTATTTTTAAATTTATTTTGTATAATTCTATGGAAAGCTTTTAATACATTTAGGATACTGCTAATTGCAAAGATAAATAGTTAAGACAACCACGGAATCATAAAATCACTTTACTCCCGCATTTTCATAATTCATATTTTAACAAAATAATTCCTCGTATACCAAAGTGCGATCACAGAAACACGACTTAAGGATTATTATATTGAAACTTTAAAACAGCGCGTGCTCCGGATATAAATATAATCGAGAATGTATGGATAATACTAGTACACAATATTTATAAAGAGAACAAAACATGTTCGTCGGTTGAAATATTAAAAAGCCGTGATTGCTAGAGTGGGCGGTGATTAATTAAAATTTAAATGGAAACCTTATCAAGAGCATGAAAACCCGTATTTTTCAGTTAATTGATCGTAATGGCGCAACAACAACTGCAGTTACTAAATAAATGGTTTCGTTATAAATGAACTTATATTTTCGTTCAAATAACATTTTTCATAAAAAGAGAAATAATTCATGTTTGTGTAAAAATACAAAAATATTTAGTATTAACTGTTTTGTAAATATTGTATTATCACATAATATTTGAACAAGAAAGTGCAATAGAATTATTTATATTAGTGAAGTAGGTAAAAATAAAATGAACGTCTACATTCGTTTGATTTCTCGTTTAATTATTCTAAAGGGTGATATATGCCATTGAATGTATTATATTTGAATTTTGTTTACAAATCAAATAAATTTAACGATAAAGTCTATAAAAGTCTAAACTACTTTGGAATATCATTGTTTGCGTATTTTACAACCGTCCATATTGATATTCGATAGCTCTGTATTACTCTTTGTGGGTCAATGAGAGCAATATTTGTTTTCACGGAGTTTCTTTACTACATATCTTTTATGGTTCAATTTTATGGCATTTACGTGGTATAGGACAATAATGGATTTCGCAATGAGAGTTAGAAGTGCACATTTGAAATAGTACTTTATTTAAGAAGAATAAAACAGTACTTTGTCTTATCAATTTCTTTACAAATAATTTATGAAGAAACTGATAAATCTTGATATTTCAAATATTTATTAAAACGAAAAATATAGTATGAAAAGTATGTGCGAAGTATCTAAAAAGCGTCTGATAAGTATTTGAAAAATATCTGACAATTATCTTAAAAATATATTAAGAGTATCTAAAAAGTACGTGAAAAGAATCTGAAACGGTTTAGTTAAAAAATGACATAAAATAACAATTTTGTTATGTTGTAGATAATTTGTAAGAGATATAGGTAGATAAGAGATAAACTGTTTTACATTTTATCTAAATTAACTATACTATTTAATATTAAAGAATTTGGTCTAAAGAATTTGAGGAGATTTGAATACTTGAATGTTTATTAAAAAAAAATGATTGCAAATTGATATTTCACTCTTATGTACAATCAGTAGAAAATGTCTTTTCAGTTCGGTTATAAATGATAAGTAATAATTAATAAACGTATTTTGAAATTTTCAAATAAACTGCTTAATAAACTGTTAATAAACTATTAATTAACATCTGCGTACGAACCGTAATTTTGAAATTTTCCAATTAATAAATTATTAATTAACGTTCACAGTCGAACTGCAATTTCGATATTTTCTACTGAATCTACAGAAGAGTAAAATGTTAAGTGCGACACTCTATTCCATTACTAATTAGTTATTAACAGATCATTGACTCTTAATGAACGTGTTATTAGTACCTATTATTTGCGACGTGTCAAATTAGAGAGTGTTAGAATGTTTTTCGATATTTCGGTATTCCGAATTACCAATAGTATTCCGAATATGCTACATCACCTCGTAATTCAACCAAATCAGGGCGATAATGATATATCGCTTCAATATATTCAATCGGAGGTAACAGGTGCATACTTCTGTGGATGTAATTTCTAATTAGTAGAATCATCAAAATCAATCCGTATGGTCACGGTTTAAAGCGGCATCCCGCATTTCGGTTAATTTGGGTTACAACTAGTGATGGGTTAGAGCAGCTCGCGAGTTTTGAACTTTGATCAGTTTCGAACCGTATCTATTTGGAAAAATAAAAACAGTACTTTACTTTGAATTTAAACGAGATTTGAACCTCTTATAAATGCTTTGAAAATTAAAAACATTCAGAATGTAATCAATATCCTTTCACAGAATAATTACACCATAACTTCTGTTAATCATGTAATAAACAGGTTCATATTTTATTTTAGAAATTTATTTTGCTAAAGTACAATATGTGCAGATATATTTTTATACCTTCAATAATAACACATTTTTGTAATATGAAAGCATATTTTATCATTTTTATAATAGTGTCATCTATTAATTTAAAAATATGTTATTTGATATATGAACATCCACTTGTCAACAAAAACACTTGTCATTAAAATAATTTTTATTATAATTATGTATACTACAGAGAAGATATTTAAAGAGGATCCAAATGAAACGTCAAAATGTAAAAAAGCGAAGTTGTGGCTTCTTTTATCAACTTAGTACGTTAATTGAAGAGATCGGTTAATGACGAGCATTGAATTTCCACATTTAATGAAAGCAATATTTCCAAGCGGAGTCGAACATTGATCGTATAGGTTCGAAACTTTTACGAGTACTTTACCGCAATTTTAATTCTGTTTCTCATTATTTTTCCTTTGCTACCTTTACAGCTAATTATTGTGTACTGTAGTACCAATAATTATTATATATATTGGATTCCGGATAATTGGGACACATTGAGACCGGACTAATTTGTCCCTATTAAGCGGCTGTCTCAATACAGCGCATTTCTGTATAAATTCTGTTTCTCTTCTTCAATATTTGCTTTGAACAACCAACGGTCCTAATTAACCGGATTTCACTGCACATAAGTTTTTCAAATGCGCATGCAAAATAAATTTTTAGTTTCAACGAAAAACTTATGTGTTTATAATTACGTGGTAATATCTGTGCCGGCAGAAAGATGTTATAAAACAGAGAAAATTGTCGATGAAAATAGAATTAGACCAAGAATGAAAAATGAAGTATTATTATTGAATAATTAAATAAGTTTAACAAGTAATGTATAATCATAACCATTACATCAACACCTAATATGAAGAGAGTTGACATTATTTTAATATATGTAATAATACATTGTAATTATTCTTACAATTATTCTTGTAGTTATTCTTATAATGTATCATATTGTCCCGTTGTGTTTTGCAACTGTAATACGAACGTATTTAAAACAAAAAAAAAATTTCAATTTAAAAATCGTGCTTCCATTGTAATAAAAACTATTTTTAGCTTGCAAAAAACAAACTATGTTTCATTCTGCTTGAGAAAATATTTATCGTTTTTTAAACTGCTAAAAAAATTTTGCAAATATGAATTAGTTTGAAATAGTTTTTTTATTTTTTTAAAATACTTTTTGAACGAACAAATTTACTTGTTCATTATATGGAACTAATTACAACGTGTTGTATTTGAATAGCTAGTCCTGTTATACCCATCACTACTTACAAAATATCACATAACTGTTCTGTAACAATATCTGACATATGTTTATCTTCTACGTAACAACGAAAGCGTCGAAACTTTCTGCACGCAAAGAGATTACATTATTATGATCAGTGTAATTATATATGCTGTACACAGCATGATGGATAATCAATAGCTTAAAACAAATTGAACATAAAAGTCTGCCTTTTGTTTCCGCAAACATCCTGTATGTATTACGAAATAATAATTTGGTGTTTAACTTCGAGTTAATCAACAAACATCCATTCAACACAACACAAAAGATTATAGAAAGAATTACTTAATATACTGCACGTCCCACCCTGCACGCTATCGATTCGAACGAAAGAAAATGGCGAAATAAGGCGTTGTGAAATGTAACAACGCAATAACGAAGATGCAATATAAAATTACAGAGGGCAAGTTTCATCGCTACAACCATGCGTCTACGAATTCTTAGTTTAATGTTCATCACGAGTGTGCTAGTCGTGAAGGAGGTTTCAAGTCATGGAAGATTGATAGAACCACCATCGAGGGCCTCCATGTGGAGGTACGGCTTCGATACTCCGCCTGATTACAACGACCATGAATGTTATTGCGGAGGTTTTACCAGGCAATGGCAACGGAATAAAGGAAAATGCGGAATCTGTGGGGATGCTTGGGACACACCGACGGTAAGATAGAAATCTTATACATGCAAATCTCAGTTCAAGTTTTACATTTATACACATTTTATGTATGTCATGTCATTACGCTACTATTAAATATTTTTTCATGAAATGCACAGATGTAGATATGATACAGTTGCACATTCTCTATTATGATAAACGCACAAAGAATATAATTTATCAAAGAGCTCTGCGATAGTTACATGTTATTCAACGAGCCATATTTTAAGAATTAATTGGCTGTGAAAATTCACCACTATATTCTAATTGAGGCGACAGTTTTTTAAGTATTCCATTCATTACCAAAAGTAAATATGAATATTGATATTTTCAAAAATAAAACACGCGAATTTCATGAATCTCTTAATCTCTTATTGAATCTTGCAAGAGATGTTCATTTTTAATCTTGCGAAGTGGGTAGAGCGGATATTTTTACAATAAAGCTATTATTAACACTAGAACTTTCAATCAAATTGATTTTACGTTTCACACTTTATATTTAAACAATTTGTTACCTTGCCATGTTCCAATATCTGTCATGTTTTGATGAGACAAAAAATGGTTGTGTATATTAGTTGATTTTTCAGTATTTACCTATATATTTTTTATTTTATTTTCGATTTAAAAGTAAATGTGCATTTAACGTCACTAGTGTTAACATCGTATACTTGTAAATTATATATCGATTGTCTATTACAGCAATTGATTTCAGTTAAACTTACAGCTTTTCTTATTCGAATAAAAAAACTGGAGTGGTTGTCATAATTATTTAATTTAATTTTATAAATAATAACTATAGTAAGGTGAAGTGGGGTAAGTTCGTAAACGAGGTAAATGCATATACAGGCTATTTTTAGTACAATATGAGCAAAATTTCTCCACTTAGTATGTTTGTTTCCTTGTTTTGTTTCACTGTATCCCCTTACAGTTGCACATTCTCTATTATGATAAACGCACAAAGAATATAATTTATCAAAGAGCTCTGCGATAGTTACATGTTATTCAACGAGCCATATTTTAAGAATTAATTGGCTGTGAAAATTCACCACTATATTCTAATTGAGGCGACAGTTTTTTAAGTATTCCATTCATTACCAAAAGTAAATATGAATATTGATATTTTCAAAAATAAAACACGCGAATTTCATGAATCTCTTAATCTCTTATTGAATCTTGCAAGAGATGTTCATTTTTAATCTTGCGAAGTGGGTAGAGCGGATATTTTTACAATAAAGCTATTATTAACACTAGAACTTTCAATCAAATTGATTTTACGTTTCACACTTTATATTTAAACAATTTGTTACCTTGCCATGTTCCAATATCTGTCATGTTTTGATGAGACAAAAAATGGTTGTGTATATTAGTTGATTTTTCAGTATTTACCTATATATTTTTTATTTTATTTTCGATTTAAAAGTAAATGTGCATTTAACGTCACTAGTGTTAACATCGTATACTTGTAAATTATATATCGATTGTCTATTACAGCAATTGATTTCAGTTAAACTTACAGCTTTTCTTATTCGAATAAAAAAACTGGAGTGGTTGTCATAATTATTTAATTTAATTTTATAAATAATAACTATAGTAAGGTGAAGTGGGGTAAGTTCGTAAACGAGGTAAATGCATATACAGGCTATTTTTAGTACAATATGAGCAAAATTTCTCCACTTAGTATGTTTGTTTCCTTGTTTTGTTTCACTGTATCCCCTTTTTATATTTCAGCTAAGAGTACTTGTTTACAGTATAGAGTACTTGCATAATGCAGTAAAAAGCATTTTATAGCAGATTTGTTAATAATTCTGCTCTTGCCCCATTGCACATGAAATAAAGTTTCAAAGTATTTAACTTCAAGTTACGCTCTTACCCCATTTTCGGGGAAAGTGCAGAGTAGTTGACATTTTAAACAATTTCCTATCAAAATCAAAATGTACAAGGAAAATTAAGGTCATAGTTAATATTAATTAAATAGTAGTAATTGTGCAAAGCGTTCGATATCGACAGCGTTAAGTATTTACATAGCAGACTGAAAATACTTACGTTTAAATACCAACTTTACAAAAATCAGTCTGCACTTACCCCACTTCACCTTATGTATTTATATACCCTTGTTTATATACCTCTATAAAATTGTTTATATACCTCTTTTACGATTTGTTATATTTTTTAATTATTTTGTATCATTGAGTCGAGTGAAAAGTGACAGTTGTTGTTTTGATAAAATTAAAGAACAGCGTCTCTGTTGTTTCAGTACAACTTTATTCATTGCAATGTTGTCCATTTTCATTTATGAGCTTCAACTACTTTTCTTGTAACTTCATTATTTCATACCCATAGAATTTCTCACGATCAGGTTTCTGGGTAAGAAACTGTTCTATGTTCGTGATACGTGTTGGCGTAACTATATAGGATTTATGCCTAGAGCAAACTGGGTCCCTTACTTCACCCTTTACTGTAAACGTCTTATACCCAACATGACCGAGTGGTTTCAGTAAATTTGGAAATTTGAGAATTTATGAGCTTGGAAATTTGAAATTTAAGAATTTAGTGAGATATGGATTTGAAAATTTGGAGACTTAGCCATTTGGAAATTTAGAAGTTTAGAAATTTGGAAATATAGAAATTTAGAAATTTAGAAATTTAGAAATTTGGAAATTTGGAAATTTGGTAATTTGATAATTTGGTAATTTGGTAATTTAGAAATTTAGAAATTTAGAAATTTGGAAACTTGGTAATTTGGTAATTTGATAATTTGGTAATTTGGAAATTCGGAAATTTGAAAATTTAGAAATTTGAAAATTCGGAAATTTGGAAAATTTAAATCTTGATTGACAATCCAACAACTGACTTTTTGCAAACAGAATTTTGAAAAAACTTTATCGTAATCATGCGAGTTTGTAAGTAAATAACTTATGATCTTCTCTAATACAAAAATATAACTGTATAGTCAATTCTCCTAGTACGAGACATTAACTGACAGATATCTTATATTTTGTTTGTATTAAAATAAAATCAAATACAATTTAATTTAAACTATATTTACTGGTTTAATTAACAATACTTCTGAATGACACTATTTCGATTTACACGGTTTTCTAAGGCATGTATCTTCTAGTATAAATCGGAGGAAATATTGAAATATTTGTATATTCAAACATGTAAATTATTTTTATATGAATGCAAATTATTTTTATACAGAATTAAATCACACAGGAAAATAATATTTAATTCAATATTGTAGAATATCGAGTCTTTTGTTCTCCCACAGAATATTGAAATTCCCGATTCGGAATTTGCTAACGGTATACTCCCACGAGAAACCTTAAACTCCTACGCGAATCAAGATTCGCGATATTAAATTCGAAGCATCTGAAATTCTTTTAAGGAAACGTTGCGTAAAATCGGCAAAATAAATGATGTGAATTGTGATTCACGGAATACTAAAATCGTAGTAAAACTAATGGTAAAAGTACAAAAGCGATCAAAATGGTAATTTGACAAATTTATTTAATCGATTTATCTGATTGACTTAAGAGCTCTATAGATTGTTTACACTTTTTGTGATGAAAATAGAATTCTAACAATGAAAGTTTGAAATAAATTTATTTTTAATGTTCAAAATGTGAGCTGTTGTATTTTATATAAGAATATGCTCGTCTTCGGATTTCATTAATAGTAATTGCTAGTTTTTAGTTCTTCCTGAATTTCTGTAGTAGCCTCTTCAATTCTGTTAACCAGGTGATTATTGCTTATAATTTTTTCCGCATAGGCTAAATCTTTCCATACGTCTCCAGATATTATAATCTATTAATAACTGAAAAAGATAGAAATTCTTCAGTAAGGACAATTTCCAACAATCGACTAATTCCAAATTGCCATAAATAGAGAATTTACTGTACTAACAAATCTTCAATCAATAGGTACTTCTATAAAATACGAAGGCAATCTTAACCTTCTGTTAGGCTCATTACTGCATAGGCGCAAGTAATTTGCTGAAAATAGCTAAAGTATTACATACCATTAGAAACAGGATAAAATGAACAAAATTACAAACATTTCAATTTGATAGAAATTAGCTGGTTTTGAGAAAAGAGCGATTAAAAATTTACTTTAATTACAAGACAGTGGGCAGACAGCTTCATTCGCTCACCAAATATTTAGTGTTAGAGTAACGATACATCGACCCATACACGTTATCTACAGTTACTTGATTTAATATTCGGACACTATGGTATTTGCAAAATTAAATAGATCTGTAAATGCACCGATCTTCGATCAAATGACAGTCTAGCTCGATCCGCCCTCGCATACAGACATTAAATTTTTGTATCCCAACTACTATCCGCTTAAAGTTTTTTTCCATTTGTAATTAATCTCAATAAACGCTAACATATTAATTCCACATAAGCTACACTTAACCTTCCGGTTATATCATTTAGAATTGCATTCAGAAAAATTGTATTGTGTGATTTAGATGAAACACGTTCTGAAAATAAGAAAATATACACATTTCGAGTTTATAATACTCCTAATAAATTTTCTACAAGTGTTTACTTTGGAAATGTCTGGTAATAAGCGAAATTAACGAAGTGGCCAATATCTCAAAAACCACGATACTTTGCATAAAAGTGTATATAGCTAAATATGTTCCAAATGACCTCTTTTCTTATCCCTTGTAAATTTTCTATCGACCTACCTAACACGCTGTGACATACATACGTAAGGACGTTAATCACAGTAAGGAGTAAGGAGTACCTAAATTTTTTTATTTAGATAGTTAGATATGGACCAGTTAGATTACGATCAAATTTTGATAAAACTTTAACGAAATGAAATTTCTAAATTTTTTTTATTTAGATAGATATAGACCAGTTAGATTGCGATCAAGTTTTGATAAAACTTTAACGAAATGAAATTTCATGAATGTTACCTAGTAATGGTACGTATATTCAAAGGATAGAAGCATGGCGTCTTGCAAACGACTGCATGTAAGGAAGAGAACG